TCCTTGTGTAGGACCAGAGGATTTATGAGCAGCTGAGAGAGTCCCTCAGATGACTGCCAGACCAAGAAAACATCAGCATCAGCCCCACTCACAAGTGATTGACTAATATTGTAGTGTATATACAGGTATAATACTTTTCTATTAAAGTTGGACAGACGCGACTTGCGTGTGTTCTTTCAGCTGGAGCACACCGACTCTACGAGCTGCTGCTTTGTCTTTGAAACTCTAGAGTGAAAAACGAGCCGAGAGGCTTAAAAATGCAACAGCGTGGGTGCTGGCTAAACGCAGCAGCACGGCTCTGATTACTACAAGGCGGAGGAGAACTTACTACTGCATCTCTATAAATTAGCATATTGTGGAAAAAGGTTTGCAAATGAATTTAACAGGGAAGCCTTTAAACATAAAACTGTAAAACGTGTCAGGTTAATGCTGAATGTGGCAGCCCAGGACACCCACACTGAGGGCTTCTTCAACTCAAAAGGTTATTACATCAATATTTCATTTTCAGTTTGAGTCAAATTACACTGAGCACCAGATTCACATGGAAGATGATGTCAGGAGGTCGCTGCTGAGGACGCTGGCTCGTCTGAGTGCTTTATCAAAGCATGCTGAGGAAGGCTGCAAAGGAAGTGCAGCAAAAGGTGCTCAAGCAACAGTGCTGCTATTGAGACTGCTGTCAGTGGGAGGGACCGGTGCTACAACGGTCTCACAGGTGATATCAAGCCAGCCCTAAACCAAAGAGAGAAACAACTGGACTGTAGTTTAGTGCTCCAAAGTCCTCTTCCCACATGAAAGTCATTTCTTTTTTTAAAGAGTTCCTTTTGGCCCTTTTCCAGGCCCCCTCAATATATGCAGCAAAGAGTGACAGGAAAGTAGAGAGAGTGGGCCGGCCGCCTCCCAATGCCAGTGAGCCAAACCGGCGCCCCACATGAAAGTATGTTTCTAAATGGAAACTTTTTAGGAGTTTGGAGGTGTCTGAAGTGCCAAAACTACCAAATGCTTTACTAACTGATGTGGGGATCATTTTTTAGTTTTCACTCTTTTCCATTTCTATATTTATATACATATAAGTGTTCAAGGTGCATTCTTCAAGTTTATCACTGGCTAAAATGAGCAGTCATCATGAATGCAGCCACCTGACACACAGAGAGGATATGAAGGACCAAGACGTTTGTTTTCCAGAGTTTAATGTGACGCTGGTCTCTTTAAGGAGGAAGCAAACAGTGTGAAACATACAGCACAGTACAGAAGTGACAGGCCTGCTCCAAGCACACAGCACAAAAAGTGAGTGCACTCCTCTGCTCTGCGTTTTACATCCAGAGATGTCCCACAGTGAAATCATAACAGCACCACAGTCGCCTCAGTACTGTGCGCGTCGTTCAGTTCAACATAAGTAAATGTGCAGGCTTAAAACAAAGTAAAGCTAATTGTTTTAATACTTTCATCTTTTAAAGTCTTTCTCAAGAAGCAATCAGTTGAGTTAAGATAACAATCATGGAAAACAAAGCTCTGGTGATCAGTTACATGTGCATGTCACAAGCTCAGACATATTCAGTCACAGGTTGGATCTTGTTGATGGGCCGGGCGCCATTACAGGCACAAAATGTGAACATCTAAAATTCGCTTTTATGTTGGCTTTAAATCTGCATAGATGCATCACTCACAAGAAATTCAATTTATATGGAAGGAAGTTACATTTAAATACACTGTGTTTGAGCTCTAAGGTGAAGAAAACATCTGGATCCAGCTGCTTTGGTGCCTTCAGATGATGGCACAGCCAGCTGTGATGCTTTACTTCAGCAGAGGGATCTGTGGGGCTGGCTGCACAAAGACCTCATACTCGAATAGTTCGACTAGCGGGACAGGACGCAGACACGGAAGCTGCAGAGATCACTCCGTTAAAAAGGAAGTCCAGTCTGAATGAAGCCTCTTTGTAACAGCAAGGGTGTGTCAGAGAGAAGTGCTGCATTGTGTTGGCCCTGGGTGGACTGGCAGCCCGCCCCGGAGTTACCCTACCCCCAGTATCCGCAGACAGGCTCCAGGGCCCCCACCACCTGACTTTGAGAAGCACTCAGGAAAAGTATGAATGAAGCTTTACTTTTTCGGATATCTGACACGACTCATATATCAGATATCAGGTCTCTGTGCAGCCAGTCCTAGATTTGTTCTCGCTCTGCAACACCAACAAATTAAAGCCCAGCACCACCCGTTTTTGGACCTGTCCTGTGCACACTCAGCACTTCATCCCTCTCGTCAGTTTAGTCCACATGTGGAATGCACTCATCTGCAGAAGCTGTTAGTTTTTTCAAAGTGGAAAGGCTGCCTTTACAGCGGACACACAGCAGTGTTCCCACAGTGGCGTTACTCCTGTTTGACCTCTCCCTTCAGCTTCCTCTTGATTCGTGAATATGGGCTTATGGTATCGTCCATAATGAAGTCGTATAGGACCTTCACCCAAGATGTGTACTGAGGCAGGTCAGCATAATACTCTGCAGCAATTTCCTTTACCTGCAAACAAAACACAAGGAATGGACACATCACAACTTTCTCCATTTACTCACTATGCAATTTTCTTTCATGCTTGAGACACAATAATTTTACTGTTTCTACACAAATTACACTGGTGGTGGTGCTGAAATCAAACTTTACAGCCTGCTGCTCACAGATAACTTATTTCATGTTCCTTTAGGATTTTGAAGGCTGATTTCAGTTTCTTTCATATCTCAGGTTACAGAGGGGCAGGGATCCTTTATTGTTCTTCTGAGTACATTCAATCACAATATTCTGTATAATTTTAATATTAAATCAAATCATGGAGTACAG